ATATATATATATATATATATATATATATATATATATATATATATATATATAGAAAGAGAGAATTGCAATTTTGGTCCCTGAGATTTGTTGCTTTTTTGGTTTGGGTCCCTACAAGATTTTTATTGCAACACAACTCTCATGGTATGTAAAAGTGTAAAAAAAATCAAATAAGGGTATTTTGGTCTTTTCTATGTTTCGTTCTCATTTTTTTTAAGAATAAAATAAAAAACAAATGGACCCCATAATCCACGGGATACTAAGGGGCTGTTCGGTTCGTTTTCTCTTAAGACCTGTATGGATATAGTTGTCTGTATATTAACAAATAAGTTGTTGTTCAGTTGTTGTGCTGAATAAATAGTATGAATATCAGAAATGACTATATTATCCCAGTCTTTTTTTTTTGTCTAAATAAAACAACAGTTTGATGAAAATGTTGAACAACTGACTTATAATTACAAAAAAAAAAAAAAACAATTTACAAGTTTTTTGTAAATAAAAACAACTTGATTAACATAATTATATGAGTTAAATGTTATAATCAAAACAACATTGATAAGTCCTTGTAATAAAAACAAGTCAATAACATAGTTTGGATACAATTTAAAATATCAAACATTTGAAACTAGTCCATTTGCAATTTGATCACGCAAAGTAGCCATGTATTATGTGTATCGCGAAGCAAACGATGACCACATTTCTTTGTTTTGTAAATGGAAAAGGAGCCATTTGCCTCAAGATAGGGAATCTAGCTTTCAAGACACCGTAAGCACGCTCAATGACATTTCGAAGTTGTGCATGCGCATGATTGAATTTTTCTTCTTTAGTTAAATCACGTCTGTGTCGGTAATCTGCTAACCAATACCTCGTGTTACGATACGGAGCTAAAAAACCATGAGCGTTGGAATATGCAGCATCACAAAGATAATATTTATCCGCATGCAACAATTGATTAGGCAAACATGCAAACATTATTTCAAACTAAACATGTTTAATGTAAGTGAAATGATGTATACCTTCAGATGGAAAAGGAAAACCAGAATTTGGGTTTAATGCAACTTCGGTTAGCACTCTAGAATCATGTGCAATGCCTTCCCATCCGACCCAAACAAATGTGAATATCATATTGAAATCACAAATGCCTAGAACATTTTGGTAGCATCGACCACCTCCTCTTCCTCTATATGCAGTTTGATGACTAGCAGGCACGACTGCATGTATGAGTGTCCCGTCTAGTGCACCAATTGCACCCTTCATTGATGAAAAAATGTTAATGATTTGTACCTAACTATAAAAAAACTATAAAAGCAAAGCTTACCGGAAATATTTCTCTCAAACGACTGTGCCAATTTGACATAATCTCCGTGTTTGTTTCAAACGCTGTTGGACAGACAATTTCTCTCGCAAACTTCATCATCCCTTGTAGAACTTCATGAAAACAACTATAGATGGTGTCGATGGAATGTTGAAATTTTTGTTTGATAACTCTATAACGTTCGTTATGTCCGATCATAGTAAAAAACATAGCTACTTTCTCCTCGACATTTATAATTCTACCATCTTTTACCCAACCACTTTGTTTAAAGTGATTGCATAGTAATACATATGCTTCACGAGGCATACGCATCAACTCCTGACATTGCAAACTAGATCCATATAGCAACTCTTGTGTTTATGCATGTCCGCTCATAGCTGAAGTGTTATCTCGTACCCTCTCGATTCATGTTGAAGAATTCCTTCTTCGTCTTAAATACCAAAATATTAGAGTTACGAATAAACGTTCTTCCTTGTAAGCCAACGTATCTAAAATTGCAAACAATAATCGTAAATCAACTTGTAAACATCATTTATATATCTAAAATTTTAATAATAATCGTAAAACAACTTGCAAACACCAACCAAATATCAGAAAAACCAACTTGATAACATAAAACCAAATACATCAACGACCAAAAAGAGTCATAACTATCAACCAAAAAAGCCATTGGAAATGTATCATAAGCATCAACAAAAAAAGCCATTGGAAATGTATCATAAACAACAACAAAAAAACAAGCATAATCCTAAACATCAATGGCCAAATCAACCGCAACCACCTACTTGTCGCCTTGTTTATCTCCAACTATCTTAACCCAATCAACCTCAAATTCGGGCAATATCATCAACCATGGCTCTCTATTCTCCTTTTCACCAAGAAGAGCCATTGCAATACGGTACAAAGGACCGTCTTTTGGCCATCCAAGTTCATTGAGTTTTTGAAGACAAACCATGTAAGAAGGAGGCTCAACACCACCGAGGTTCCCATGTTTTACGGCCAAAGATTTTAAAACTGACAAAATCTGCTCATCTATGTCAGATTGGCTAACTTTTCTCTTGTTGGTTCACACTTGCGTACGAGCTGAAGATACGGGAGTTGAGGAGGTGGGTTAGGAATTGGACATCTCCACTTCCTCATTGTTGGAAACAAAGAAAGGTTCGACAGAAGGCTCGGGGTCATTTGGTAGCGGTCCAAAGCTTCCGATGCCCGTGGAAACACTGCCTTCAAACAATTGCGTACACAACTCGGGGAATGGAAGATTAGTTGTCCTTAACGATTCAACATATTTATTTGACTGTGTTAAAAAAGAATTATAAGTAACTAATCAAATTTTAAATAGAAGGAAAAAAAAAGTATAACAAGATAGTGACCTGAATCTCGGTTCCCATTGCTCGGGTGTCAAATTAAATGAGTTTGTTGATGGATCACACACGTTCCCTGTTTTATTTTTATGTTTCAACCACACCCCATATATCCCTTTAAACAGTCATAGTGGTTACGCATTTGCTTTCTATCCACATGAAAGTTGTGAATCTCTTTCAAATGATCAGAAACTTTCTTCCAGGACAATGATTTTAGACTTCCACCTTTTTTTCCGTTCAAAGCTATCTCAAGAATGCAACTTTCTAGAAACGTTTTTACAACAACCATGTTTTTCCAACTTATCCTAGTCCTTTTTGGCAGTTGTGAATCGTCTGTTTGTTCCATACCTAATCGGTTGAAAATCAACAAGTTGGAAACACATAATCGGCAAAGATACATACAAATGAATAAGATAATCGGCAAAGACACATAACATCTGTTGTGGGTTCTGTTTGCAGGTTACAAATTTGAAAGTAGAATACTTTCCACCCATGGTTGAAGTTATACTACAAAATGGAGCCATGGTAAATTCAAGGAGGTACCCATCTGGAATTTCAAAACCCAATATGCATACTTGATGCACTCATCTAGAATTTTCTAATAGCCTATAAATTCCAGGGGGTACTGACAATTAAAAATGGAATGGTGTAGGTAAATTATTTATTTATTGGGCAACATATATATGAGCAGTGTAGTTAACTAACAATGTAAAGATACAGCTCCATCTGGTTGTAGATCTGGATGTGTTTATCCATGTAAGACAGAATATGATGCACATTCATAAACCAAATGTGTGAACAGAGATGCACATTTATAAACAGAATATCAGATATGTGCATTTTTCTTTACAAGATGGAGCAATAGTAAACAGAGATGCACATTCATATCTAGCCTCTATGATGAACTCGTAAACAAATATACAAATTCATAAACAGAGATGCACTCGAAGAAGATAGATGAAGAATCGATAACATACCTTCGATTTGGAGGATGACTTTTTTGGCGGTAGCGGTCGATGGAGGAGAAGATGGGTTTATGGAGGAGAAGGTGCAGTAGCTTTATGGAGGAGAAGATGGGTTTATGGAGAAGAAGGTGCAGTAGCTTTATGAAGGAAAAGTACCTTTTCTTCAAAATTAGGGAGAGGGTAGATAGGGAAATAAATCTAATTTAATTGGCTGAGTGGATAGCACCTTCAATTTCAGCTGACCGATTCAGCTATTGGTTGAGAGATTAAGCTCCTACCGAACACATAGATATGGTTGTGCGAATTAGCCATATCTACTATGCAGCTCATTATGCTATTACCGAACCGCCCCTAACCGAAATAACCTTTTAGAATAGTTTATTTAGGGTTTTAACCTTAAAATTAAATTTTCCAAATAAATGGTCATCCATTACCCTGTTAGCACCGTTAGGTGTATACAGGGACTAAATTACAAAAAAATTTGTCGATTTGACTTGTTGAACGACAACTTTGACCAAACACCGGCAGTGGGTCCCACCCTTACACACCGGCCCGGTGCGTAAGGGCTCCACCGGCCGGAAAAGCTTTAAATTTTTTTTTCTCATCCTCAATACATAACACTATTCAATTTTCTCTTTCCCGATATAACACTATTCAATTTTATCTTTTTCCTTCTCAATCCCACTATATAAACAATTCAAATTTCACAAAACCAACACTTCAATCTCTATTATCTTAATAAATCTTCAATACCCCAATACAATCTCCATTACCTTAATACAATCTTCATTAACTCTAATACAATCTCCATTACCGACATTTAGTCGTCAAAATCATGGTAAGTTTACTAATTTGATTTTTTATATAATTTTATTTTTTCAATGTATTCATTTTAAAATAATCTCGTCTTTACAATGTAATTTTTATATAATCTCATTTTCACGGTATATTAATTTTAAT